ATAATTATATTTGTATACTATTTATATCGAACAGTTTAATTTTGTAGTTTACAGTTTATTTATACAATAATATTTCTTCTTAAGGTCCATACAAGTATCATTTTTTGACAAGTGAATGAATGGAATTTTTGTGATGCAATCTGATTTTGAAAACCTAAAAAATTGCATATAAGAACCATTTTGAAATTTTCATTTCTATGTGTTTTTTACGAAGAAAACTCAAACCTACACTTTATTTATTTATTCGTTTTTCACACACTAACACTACACACACACACAACATATTTGTTTTCTTGGAAGGTTTAAGTACTGAAATAATGAGAAAAATATAATAACAACATTTTAAAACCATAACTTTAGGAAAAAAAATGAAGTAATAATTAGGAAAAACTTTGTAACAATAAATTTACATTAAACGTATACATTGAATAAAAATTTTAATATAAAAAAAATTGAATTTAGTCACTTTAAAACTATTTAACATAAAACGTGTAAATAAGTATAATATGAACTAAGAGTTCATCAATTTTTTATGAAAACTGTTAAATTACAAATTATTATACTGCAGAATCATATTTCAAAAAACGACTTCTACATTTTTGCTTGATTTTTTTTTTTTTTAAATAATAAGTATTATAAATATATCATTAAACTAAGTTTGAATAAATTTTAATAGTTTTGAGAAAGTTAAGATATTTTCTTAATCCATACTCAGTGGGAACAATATCGATCTATCCAATCAAATTATATTAAACATAAAAATATTTCATTTTTATTTTTTTAGAAATATGACTTATGATATTTATTTAAAATTAAAAATGTCTGTAAACTCCTTGATTTTATCTATATTAGTTTTATGTTATACATAAATAGACGATGGGCGTATAAAATATTTTATTTATCCTTAAAACATCACGCCAGACTTACAATACATTTTCAGAATCTGTATTTCAACTACAATGTAAAACATAAATAATATTAAAAATAACACTAAAATTTAAAGTAAACACGCATTCGACAGTTATACAACATTTAATTTTAATGACATACATTGCAGAACGAGTAAATACGGTATGTAATGAGCGTATGTCTATGTCACATAAACACTCATGGCAAATATTAAAATACTTATCTGAACAGCATTTAGGCATAATGAGTGTCATTCAAACGATTAATTGAGTTTAAACATTTATTTTTTTATGAGAATATAATATGTATATCATTTTATATGTACGCATAGGAAAATATACATTTAATAGAGACAATTTAATCGTGAATAAGATATTTTTCTAGAATGAGTAGAATAAGAATAATAAAAAGCATACATCTTATTAGTTTAGCAATATAACGTTTTATTCATAAAAAAATTTTTTTGGTGAATTTTACTTTTCATTCTTACGCATATTAAATACATTTTTACATTATTATGAAACCATTGAATTAATATACTTCAACACTTTTTACTTATATTTTATAATTTTATAATTAAACACTTGTGGGTTGTAATAAAATCATTACCTGGGTTTGATTCAAAAATTAAAAAAATTAACTAGTAGAGCAATAAAATCTTGAGATGTACAAAAACTTTATACAGATTTTATTAAAACTAGGTAAAGAGACTGAAAAATATAAAGAACACTAGATTATAAAATATATGAGTATTTTTAGTTTAATTTGCACATAAATAATTATGCTTATCCAATATTGGTAGCTAAAATTTAAAAATTCATAGCTTTATACTATTACACATACTATTACTTTATATTTTTTAAATACATATATTATAATATTGTTATAATGTTATAATATACAGAGTTAATTGTAGTGTATTTTTTCAAAGTCTGGTTAGTGGAAAATGTAACGGTATATATGTCTATGTTTCACAGTATATTCATTGTTGGTACCTTTTAAGGAGTATTCTGTGACTATACAAGTTTTATTTCTCAAACGGGAACATTTCTTCAATTATACAATTTATTTTTCTGGAATTTAATATGTTATAAAAGCAGTTTATATAGACCCCTCATTCTGGATATGAAAACATTCATAACTTTTTAAATTTAAAACCATTAAAATGTATAAAAAAAAACAATGTTATATGACTTTCTTATTCAAATTACAACAAAATTTCAAATTCAATAAAATAGAAAAATCTTCCCTTTTAATCAATATTACTTAAAAAATTAATAAATATAACATTCAAAATAATGAATTATTTCATTAAAAACAATGTTCTCAAAACTATACGTATTTTTGTAACCTACACCTGTAAATATTTTTCTACGAATAATTATAGTGAAAATTAATAAAAATTTAATGAAAAACATTATAGTGAATTCTTCATAAGTAAATTGTAATAACTATAAAAACAAGGGTTTATATTGTTACCGTGTTACATTAACAATTTGAAATATCTAAGAATTATATAATATGTAACTTATCCTTTTAGAATTGATTACGAGAATGATATGACACATCCATTTATTTTCATAAACTCAATTATTATGGTGTTGATAATTCGGCGCGTAAAACAGTCGATGATATTGAGACTTATTAAATAGAGGTTTATTTTAAAATCAAAATGAATAGGGTATACTTCAATTTCAAAAAAATATAAAAGTCGTCCGAGGTATACAGAGGAAAATACTAAAGAGCAAGAACCGTGAACGAATAATCTAAAAGTTTAATTAATATGTATAAACCTAGTAGTTTTCAAAAATATCCAAATCTCGAGGGGCCAAGGATAGTTATATATCGCGAGATGTTAAAATCGCTTTTAACTCCCAGCAACGGCCGCATCACACTAAATAGTCACATAACAGTGCGATTTCTTTATAAAACGTTCGTCTTTTCTAGATGATTATTAATAATAATAACTTACATTTCCAGAAAAGCACTGCGGTATTAACACACGTCACCATGTGAAGAATATATTGTCTTTTCACGTAGAAAAGTACTAGGGTATATTACTAACAAGTACTATAGTAAGTACTAAGTTATACCTGCATATATAATATGATATTCTCGGAATGGAATACTGTAATACAATAAAATTTCTCCCGTGACGCAAATTCAATATCGTTCAATATGACAGCGAAAGAAAAATACGCAACTAGCTCAAGCTATTTACGATGATAGTTAAAATAATGCTAGACCAAAAAAAAAAAAAACTAAAACGTGTCCTCTTAGAAATACCACAGTCAGATGAAAATTTAATTTATTTTTTCATTTACAAACAAGCTGTTGCAAAAATTATTGGACACGTACGCCTGACACGAAGTATTGAAGCTTTTTTTGATTGTATAATTTGTTTACGCTTTCTAACATCGCATTTTCCATTAAACACGAAGATAACGATAAAATAGTTGGAAATCGTTCTCCCGTCAGAGTAAACCTTAAATGGTTAAGAAAATTTAATACAAAATGAAAAACAAAATTTACGGAACATGTGGCACTCAAACGCGCGCAGACGTTACTGGACAGCTGCATGTGAACGTAAAATAAATTTATGTCCCAGTGGACCAGTCTCACAGGCGTTACGATTGGATTTTTTTAATTTTTTTTTTATTTTAAATCATTAATTTTACACCAAGCGGTACTGCAGCGTCCATATAACACTTTTACAGTTTGGAATCTGTATAATACTTGAAAATTAACAAAAGTAAAATGTCAAGGGAGTAAAACTTCCGAAAGCCTTCTCTAGGGAGCCCGTCAAAAAGTTTTCGTTATCCTTACATTACCACAAGAACACGATTACCCTTACACGATTTAAAGCCTACATCTACCTGTTCGAACATCACCATTGCCTTAATTGAGAATTTTTACAAAATGCATCAATACTATACGCATTTGTTTTTTAAATTATTTATTTAGCACATCACTGTGAAAAAAACATAGGAACAAAAAGGGTTCATTCAAAAAAACAATTTTTTTGAAACATATTACTTCTAATCAAGAAGTCATCTATAAACCTCACTCCTCAGAAGTAAATCAAGAGAAATCAAGGTTAACACCAAATATCCAACACGGAAATTCGTGAAATGAAATATATTTAATATTTATTTATTGAATAAAATTTATAGGTATTGATATATATATATTGCTACTGTATAATAAATGCCGATCGATTTTATACTTAAGATGCTCTTACACTAGATCCGCAGTGGCCGGCCGACTGAACCGAAAGAAACATAGATTCAGTTATACATATGAGTTTATTTATCAATAATTTCACATTTGGTGTTATGGTGACTTGATATTATCGTTAATGAACGTTTACCTAGTTTTAAGTATTTTTTAGTATAGTTTAACGTCGAAAGTGTTAAAAAATATGTGATACTATCTGTTATTTAACAACCATTTAACATAAGTTTTGCGTTGTGTAGTCGAAAGTATTATAGTAATCCTGTAATTGTACATACACCAAGTGTGTTTGAGAATTGTGAAAATGTCTTCAAAATTCGAAAAAGAAAGATCCAAAAAATGTAGTGGTTGTGGAAAAACAAAATTGGAATCAAAAATCACGACATAGTATTATAATCTATTAAACTAGAATAAGATTAATAGTCTGAAATGAAAATTCGGGAACATTCAAGGGAACATTCAATGGAACATTCGGACATTCGGGAACACTACAATGAATGCAGCAGGTACACCTGAAAAATTCAGCCCGAATATATTTTGGTTCGGGTCCAGTGTAGGTATGCGTGGTTTTAGATTTCGATTGTAATTGAAAAGCGAACAAATAAAGTAACGGAAAAAAAATAATAATAATCGTGATCGAATATTGGGTTCGCTATGGAAAAACTAATAAGTGTAAGGTGTTCGTATAGTACGAAAATGCGTGTTGACCGCAAAACCTGACCGATGAATTGTACAAAACCTGTCAGAGGATAAAAATAAAATAAAATAATGGGAAGTGAGAATATTACATGAATTACAATATTCCTAGTGAATTGCCGAGAACGATTCTCGAAATAACGTTATAGTATTCTACGTACTTATTTATTATTGTTTTTTTTTTTTTTTGTTTTTACGAAAAAATGTACAGCGGTGGTGTAATGTCGAACGACAAACGATCACGCAACCAATGACGGCGGTAATGCGTATTGTACGTAAACGAGTTTCGACGGGCGAAGCAACAGTGATCACGTGGCGTTCGCGGAAACCGACTGACGACGTAGGGAACGCGAAAGCATTGTGGCGGTGACGCGCGAGCGAACCAGCTTCGACTGACGACCGCGGACGACGGGTTCGCACTGGAAGAGCACGTGTGCGTGACGCCGGCGACTTTACCGCGACGAGAGCACGCGGCCGCCGCGACTTCCGCCTACTGCCACCTAGTGGACTTCCATCTACTGCCACCTGGTGGACCGCGGCCACCGGCCACCCACCGATATGGGCGCGGTCTCACGCCAAATTCCACCGGCAGACATCGCCAACGTTCCAGAACGGCGGATCATTGGCGTAACCTGGATTGGTTTTCTTTTGTTTGGGGGACGTTTGAATTTGGAAAAAATAAGCATTTTCTGCACGTTTTTGGTGGGGATAAAGGAGTGAGATTAAGCTAGGTTTAAGATTAAACTGTTTAACTTCTATTTCTTATTGTGATACCACGGAAAAAAAGTATTATACCATCGACCATCGAGAGATCGTAGAAGCAAGGTTATTGATGTTGAACGGAGCGTTAAAAAACGTTCTATATTGTCATGTTATTATTGTTGTCAGTTATAATACAAATAATATTCATATTTCATATCAATCAGCCGTTTCGCGTGTTCAAGATAAACATTTTTTTTTTTTTCTTACGTAGAATTTTCTTTCCCCACCAGAAGAAATAAATTTTCAATAGTTATAAATGCTTTGACACAAAGGTGCAAAGAAAGATAACACTAATTTATAACACGCGGTTGTAAAATAACTCTTCATTTGAATTTATAATAATTATTAATTCATATCTTGTATGTGTTTTTTTATATTATAAAATCAGGGCCGACCTGATGATTTACGGGGCAAAGTAAAATTAGGGGTCCATAAATGTTTAAAATGTCACTATCGCGCGTCAGTTGCATATTGGAACTCAAACGTGCGCAAATAGTCTTAACAAATATAGAACCTTGCATTTACAACAATATAAGTAAATAAATTAATTATATAATTAATAATTTTACATGGAAAAAAAAATATATGTATATTTTTATTTGCTCATCAATTTACCTTTTTTTTATTGTATCTATGATCTATGAAAGCAAGGACTGTCCAACAGTGGTAAGAGCGCGAAGCGCGGGACGAGGGCCCCGCTCGTCCTGCCCTATATAAAATCACTTATTTTTTAAAAAAATTACCACCCCCTCCAACAACAATTTGAAAACAAAACCACTGTATATAAGTATAGAATTTAGTTATTCTGGTTTCTCAGTTTAACTATATTATTATTCGCAAGTTGTGCATACATATCTGTTGTCATGCATTTGTTAGCACAAAATATAAAGAAAATTTAAAATGGAGTGGCGATAAATTTATAAAAGAATCAAAAATTTGTAATTTTATATAAACAAAAATAACTTACGCAGTTTCAAAATAACCACATTATACATACGATTTACAATATTATAACTTATAAAACACTAAAGTAATATAAGGTTTTTGTCTATTTTTTATTAAATAGAAATAGGTTTAATGTTTAATCTAATAATAATTATTGTACTGCAGAGTACATGTATAAATATATTGGAAAGCTGAAAATGTTATGTATAAGCACTACAAAATGAAATTTTGTAGAAACAAGATACTTCGACGAATTTCCATTAAATGATATTAGTTATTTAGTTGAAAACGTTTCATAGTTTCGAAATATTTGAATGAAGTTTGTGCTGTTTTAGGCACTTGAATTTTCGATTTTCCTAAATATCAAATACTTCATATCTGTTGCTAAAGTTAGGACATTGAAAGTTGAACCTATCTTATTAAATATTTGGTTCAACTATCTCAACCATCCTTAAAATATATACTAATTAGACCTCTTTCACTCAGAATCGTTTTTTTCGAAAACAGTGGTACATTGATTTCACATTCACAAATCCCTGTATTTCACTTGTATCTAACTTAACCTAGGAGTTTTTGTTATTTTGTAATTTATAATTTAATTTTAAACATGTGTTATTATTCAATGATTAAATGTTATTAGGATTAATAGACTTTGATATTTCATTGTTGGAAGTGATATGTTTTATCAAACTATGTGTGATTTCAAAATATGTTTTGCACTTAACATTTATACGTAAAATAAAACATGCATCTGTATTAATTGTTCTTCTTTCATTTTAGTTTGATTGTTTACTACTTATCAAAGATATTGAACTGTATATTATACTATTTACTGTTTATCTATACTATTTTACATCAATGCAAACAGATTGTTGCCAGTAGGCAACACTATGCATTGTAGGGTTAAAATGGTACGATATTTAAAAATAAATGCACATGAACTAAAATAATAAAAAAATTTCAATAAATACAAATTATTTAATAAATAAATGTTGTTTAAACATCATTAAATCATTTTAATACATTTATATCATAAAGTATAATAATTCTATACGTAGTAGTTTGAAAATCTCTGACTAAATTCTTTATGAAACTTATCTAGGAGGAAAAACTAATAAACGTTACATATTTTCAATTTCAATTTTTCAGGTATATATGACATGCTGCAAGCTATGTCACATCATAATACTCAGATGTATATATATATAGCATATTATACTATTTAGTAATACAGATTGTAATTGTCTTAAATAAATAGTACAGATATAATTTTAGAAAATTGTCTCAACAATGTTATCATGTATCCTACAAACTGAGAACAAAAAATCAAACAATAATTATGTGTTGTATCATTTATATTTTTAAGTTGAAATTTAGGTACTGATGTTTCTAAATCAAAATTTTTTTAAATCATATATTTATTTTATCAAATATTTAAATTTGGAAACATATTCCATCAGTAATCACAGACAATTCGAGATACAATCATTAACGATTGGCAGCAATTTTATGTATACAATTTAACCGTTTTTTAGTCCGCTGTAATTATTCGCTGTAGGTTAGTTAGTTGTCATTTACTATTTAATTTGTTACAAAACATAGACAACTACTTTTTTTTAATGGAATATTATTTTGGCTCTCATTTGAACTAATATTTTTTCCAATAGTTATATTTTACAAGAATAATTTCATTTTCTCTTAAGTGTATTAAATATGTTGGAATATATGACATAAATAATATATCTATAAGTATATTAGACTTTTATGATATATGCGAGGGTAAATTATCATAAATAAACAAATAAAAAATTAGTGAAAATAAAATGTCTTTGACAAATTTGTTTAAATTAATAAACAGAAAAATAGTGCGCATCACATGTTAACAAATTATCGCTTTGAGTGAATATACATTAAATTTAAATTTTATTTTGATTTTAAAATTGCTTTTTTTTTTTAAACTAACAACTTCTCATATTTTGTTTTTTAAATAATTTTATAATAATAAGAATAGTAATATTTTGCTTGTTACATTGCTTGTTAAAAGCCGAGCAATAAATTGTGATAATAATAATGTAATATGGTTACTAACAGTCTGTATAATGGATGGTTTCCAAGAAATCATCGGTCCATCCTTACGAAACGAATATATTAAATAATTATTAATATGAAACGGTTCTTGAAATTCACTATTACAGTTTCTTCGAAAATCACCATGACATCAACAAATAAATACCAATTTATAGTATTTATATTTTATTTTGCATTCAATTCATCATTTAATATAAATAGAATTGACTATGCACAGTTATATTTTAAGACATAATATAATATTGGCATAGAAAACTATTATCGAAGGAGATTCTTTTTTTATCACTAATACTCAACAATTTCTTGTTTTTTTGAAGTGAGACAAATACTATAAAATATTTCGATGATTATTCAATGTTATTTGTACAAATCATTATGTTTTTAAGTTTTGTAAATATTCAACGTTTTCAGGTATATAACAACAAATTTTATTTGTTGAAGTTTTTATTTCTAAGTGTTTTAATGTAGATCGAAAATTGAATCACTAAAATAATGTTATTATAATTATTTTAATGTCATTCCACTCTCCTCGTAAGATTTTAACAGTAATAAAAAACTGTTTGAGTATTCAATTCAATGTAAAATAATTTAAAAAGATTTCACTGCTTCAATTTATTATGATAAAAAGTTAAAATATTATAATGTTTTTTGATTAAAAATATAATTTATCCGTAAAAACTTTACATAAAAAAAAGAATCAATCATTGGTAATTTCTTTTAAGAAAAGGCTTAGAAATACTAGTACACATGTACATGTACCACAACAATTAATATCATTAAATTTCCGATGAACTTGAAATTGAAATTGAAAGATTCAAAATACTTACCTATGATTTCGATTAAGTTACTAACTCAATATATACATTTCGTATACACAGTGACAATAAATTATAATATATACAATCATGTCCACGTTTATCTAGTATAGGTACTTACAATATTAATATTTTTATTTCATAATGTAAATGGACTTAAGTTCTATAAAGTATTTAAAAGCAAATATAATATTAATTATTCATAGTACGTGAACATTTATGTAAAACAAGATAAATTTGAATATAACTGATAATTAGATAAATATAACCAAAAACAATTGTTTACTTATTATTGAAAATGTTTTGTGTCTTGTTTTAATCTTATTTTTATTTAATATTTTACCAATTATATTTTACTGGCTGTGTCTTATTTTACTATATTTATACAAGCGCTTATTAATATATTAATTTCGCTTATTTTAAAATAAATAATCAGTTTCGAGTCATACTATAGACTTATGACTTCACGCGATAAATTAAATTTGTCACTGGGGAAAAAGTTCGAGTTGTCTACAACAATTAACTTTAAAATGCATTTGAAGGAACCTAAGTGACTTATACTAATCTCCATTATGTCTTATTGTAATTTCATTAACTGTGTATAATTAATTATTAAACATAATAAACAACTAATATAAACTACAATAAACATTTCTATATTGATTCCATTTATATTTGTTGCAATTTCTAATTAAAATTTGTAATTATACTGAAATAAAATAGCATGAAAGAATTTCTTTTTAAATATTTTTTGAAGCAATCTCAATAATATAAAAAAAATTATTTGACAAAAATCAATGAATATTAGGGAAATTGATTAAAT